ATAAACGTCACATTTCTAGGGTTTAATTCTAAAACAAAGATGGTCTGGACTGTTGAGAGCTTTGGCTCTATTTTATTTTCTCATGAAGGTGATGAACGGTGTGTTTTATTTATAAGAATAGTTTTGACATTTTCAAGAGTCTTAAATCACACATCAGGTCATGTGATGTACACAATTGATGGTCCATTAATGATAGGTACTAGATTGTCACATTTCGATTATTCAGCTATTAGATTGTCACGTTTTAAAGTTCGGGTACTAAATTAATATTCAACCTAAAGTACAGGTACTTATCCTGAATTTTTTCTAAAAAAGCCACCCTGACTAGTTACCCCATTTATAATACCGGTTAATTACAAAATGTTCCAATATCATGTATTTGGGAAAACTCCGATCTCCCATCCACACCATGCACTGCAATATCTCTCTTATCATTCATGGGGAATGTTCCCGATCCAAGGCGTGTGGGTGAAGATGTGAGAAAATTATTTGTTTTAGGGATTTTTGGACTTCAATCCTCTTCAGAAATCTAAATTGCAGTACATTCCTAGTCTACTAGTAGCCCCCCTATAAACTTCATCTTGCCCGTAAATTTGACATCAATCCACAGACAAGATTCAGTCCACCCTTAAAAATCCTAGCTCCACCTTAAGGGTGGTCTGAACTATAAAAACCCTTGGTATGATAGTCAAACCATTTGCAAATATCGTGGATCTGATCTATGTACAAGGTCAAACAAATTGTATAATTGTCTCTACCCATTAATCTCTCTATTATGCTTTATGCATCATTGTAGCGTGGCCTACCTATGACCCATATGGAATTGGGACATTTACATTCTACTTTGCCTTGGCTGCTCTTACTTTGCCTCCATTTACATTCACATTCTACTTTCTTTCTTTATTTCGTTGGTTCTGCCTATTGGTGAACATCTTCCACTTGATCTACATTTCCAGGACAATGGCGGAAAAAGTGAATCATGACAGGGCTGCAAAAGATATCTGGTTATCTGAATTTGAATTTGAATTATATATTCTTAAGAGTGATTTAAATTTGATCAATTTCTAGAAAAAATCTATGATACAGAAAAGATATGGTATGGGAAGAATTTTGACCAATCAAAACCCACCAATGAATTTTGATAAATAACACCTGATTGGCTATCATGTTTATGATTCTACTTGATTGGTCAGAAGTTTTTCAGATATCATATATTTTCCATATCATAGTCGAACCTCAATTTTTAAGGTGCGAAGTCCATTTATAAATTGGATCAAATAATGATTTACCCCTTTCTGGTTCAATGTAATCCAATTTGATTCGATTTAAATATATATGCTCACATATACTTGAAAGTTATATCATATTTGGCACTAAGTTGGTCTCAATGTTTTATTTTTTTTTTAAATTGTTATAAGTTCAAGATTTTATACAAGTAATTATCAATTCATTTTGTTCTAAAATATAATGTTAAAGTCATTTTTAGCTCAACTTATTAATAATATGTAATATTTTGATCATTTTTAGTCTAATTTATTTATATTATTTAATATCCGATTAAAATATGAGTTTGATTTGAATCCTCCATATGTTATCCCATAGATATGATCCGATCTGATTTCGATTGTAAACAAATCAAAATTTGATATGTCTATCCGATTGGATCCGATCAATCTATAGCCGTAAATCTATATAGCCATTCCGACTTCGAAATATTAAGGCCTCATTTGGCGTGTCTTTCCATGTGGTCTGTTGTTTATTTAGAACTTGAACCCAATAGACTACATTGTGGTCTTTTTCTGTTTGGCTCGCAGGAGATCAGAGATCCAGCCACCAATAGACAATGTGCCAAAAAGATGCGCGAAGCCTGTTTTGGACTATTTTCAAGAAGTTTTAAATGGAGTTTTTCGATTTTTTTTTTCAACTCGTATTTGCATGGAAAGACACACCTTAATCAAACGGTCTTCAAATTGTTAAGATCTTGATGCAAAAACTCACGATATCTTTTGACTATCAAAACTTCTAGAAGATATTTCAAAAAAATGACTTACCAAATAATCCCTAATTTGAATTCTAAAACAGGACCCACCCAAAAAACATCTCACTTGTTTGAAATCTTAAAAACACGACCCGCCAACACACAATTTAAAATTGTCACCGGATATGTATGCCAAAAAATGCAAATATGATCCACCCACCAAATGCGAAACAGTGTATGATTGAAACCCATCTACGAATTACCGGACCCATTTTTATTTATTTATAGATTGGGGCCCACTTTTGTATGGTTCTTCAATTTGTCTAACGTTTCAAATATTATCATTTGATTTTATGCCCATTTTAACTTTTATCTATGGGAAAATTCTCAATTACTACGCATTATGGTCTCCCAACTCTAATTCAGCATCTAAATTTTTAAAACATGTGAATTCAGTATCTACTGTTAACTAGCTGTTAATCAGCCGTGAAGTAGCATTTAAAAAAGACATACATGCCTTTTGAGTGTTGTCTATTTTTCTTTATAAACCATTCAAATATTGACAAAAATTAACAGTCCCAAATCATTGTCTCATCTATCTTGAGACTATTCATTTTTTGTTAATATTTCGATAGAAAATTAGATGACACTCGAAAATCATTTGTGTTTCTTAATGATTAATTAACAACTAGTTAACGGTAGGTACTAGATTAATATGTTTTGAAAGTTTAAATAATGAATTATTGTATTTTAAAATTTAGATATCAAAATGACACTAAACCCAAAATACAATGTACTAATTGAAATTTTTTTCCTTGAAGCAAAAAAAAGACAGAGAGAGTTTTCCCTTATTGTATTTCCAACTTTTTCCCCTCTCTATTCAATCCTGTATCCTTTATTTTCTCTGAAGATATTCAATTCTCTAATATAGTATGGATGAATGGGCTGGTTTCGGCATTAGGGCTGCTAACGGTATAATGAACTCGATATGATTGAAAGGAAAAATTAATGGCGGAAAGACATGTAATCCAAAGAGCTTTGGCCAAGAAAATAAAGAGAAACAAACAGAAAAAAACAAACTAGACATAGCCTGGCTGCGGAGTACAGTCTAAAGAGTCCTTGAGAGAAACATCTGGTAGACAAAAAGGAACTGCAATCGAATCCTTAGAATTATTTTGACCAACTACGGCTAACTGTTTGATATACTTGCAAAAAAAACAAAAAACAAGATTTCACGATGAGCTTCGGGCCAGTTTGGCGTGTCTTTTTAAAAAGAATTTTTGATAGTCAAAAGATGCATTAAGTTTTTGATAGTCCAAAGTTATTTTGATAGTATCATGTCTTTCCGTGTAAGAATAAAACAGGAAAAGCTTCATTTGGAGTTTTTTGAAATAAACCCAAAATGAGTTTTTTATATCTTTTTGGCACTCCATCTTTTGATGGTTAGATCTTCCATGAATCAAATGGGAATAGACCAAAATTCAGTTTGTAAACAATTGAAAGCCCACACAGAAAGATGCACCTGACGGGCCTTTCATTAACATTTCCAACCAATTATCTATACACTAGCACAACACAGAGGCTTAACCAAAAGCTTTCCCACCAAGGTTGGGGCAAAGTGGGCTTAGCACTAGGGACCGTCAATGGATTTCAAAAGTTTAATATCTGTTTTGACTCTAGGGCCCTATTTGGTTCATATAATAGGGGTCTAGAATCGGAATGGTCTATTCCAATTCCAATTGTTTGATTGAGTGGAATTTGAGTTCCATTCCCATTCTTGCTGGAATGACATTCCCCTATCTGAGGGAATGACTATTCCCTGCCCCTCCCTTGGGAATGAAAACCCATTCCTACTGATTCCAACTTTCATTTCTATTATTGTGTGAACCAAATAAACTATAAGAATAAACCATTACCATTCTGATTCTAAAAGATTTTGATTTCGATTCCAGCTACCAACCAAACAGACCCTTGATTTATCCTAATTTTGGATGTTAAAACTTTTCATTCAATCAATAATCATCAAATAGGGTACAAATTTAACCTCATCCCGTTCAATTAAAATTCAAGTATAATAAATTATTATTATTATAAGCAATCAAACTATAATGGGGTAACTTTCTCCCCAAACCCCGATGAAGGCAGAATTTGATTCCAAATATTTCAATAAGTCTTACCAGCAAGCTACTTGTCACCTATTTTACACATTCTCCTTAATGGAAGGCCCCCCCATTCTCGTGTGCTTGCAGATAGCCTGTAGGTTGTAGCTGAAAGCTCGGATCCGTTCATCACCACTGTGTGTAAAATGCTATGGGCATTGCCATTCAGGCAACATTTGTACTTGGATTTGTCTTGAAAAGTGTAAAAGGTAAACAATTCTTCTTCTTTTTCTTATAAGATAGTTAGGTGCCATTAGATATACTTATTCATGTGGTGTATTTGGATTTGACTTTTACCAAAATTTTAATGGGCCCAGTGGGAGGCCCCTGATAAAGTCTAAAATTGAGTTCAAAGTCCAACCCATAAATAGGTCGAATAAAATATTCATAGAATAAATTGTTAAAACTTCACATAAAATTTGATAATTGCAATCACCTTCCTTAAATTTTATGACAGTTGCATGTAAATCTCCTTTGATAGAATTCTTATAAAAAGAGGCGTAAAAATATCTAAAATACTAATGTGATCAGTTTTGATCAAAACGTTTATTTTCCAAATTTTATCCTCATATGAATCCCTATCCCAAATCTTTCCAATCTTATTGTGACAATTTTATCTCATATGAATTCCTGTCACAATATGACAATAAGCATTGTGACAGGGAAAATTGGCGTATTCTTTCATGAATCATGATCGGTCATGTAGCGTTTCGTTCGCATACAGCGCGGCAAGCAGCCAGTCCCGAGTCGTAGCGAGCTGACTCGTATTTTGAATCGCTTTGACATCGCACGTGCGAATTTCGTATTTTGAATTAGGACCCCGACGCCTTCTCTTCATTTTAATTAATCGTTTCGTTGTCGTCCTTCATTGCCACCACCTTTTGCGTAGGACTGGAAAAACCCTCGTTTTTTCCTTCCTCTATGTCGGTTTCCTATCTGACAATTCTTCTGCAACTTCCATCCATTGTTTTCACTCATTCAATTGTTATTTAGAGGTAATTCGGATCTATTTTTCCTCAAATCTGAACGTGGATATTTTTCATTTTTACCCTTCTTATCGAAGTTTCCTTGGCTCACATTCATCAAAATTCACAGCTTTTTAATTTTTGGGGCTTCGTATGATCCTCCTGTACCATTGTACTGTCATTTGATCTAAAGTGTTATTTCATGCTTCTTTTTTTTCCTCGATTCTAATGGATTTTTTGGTTGAACTGTTTTGTCTCCACTTGTACTGCAAATGACCATGAATTCTTAGCTCATTTTTCATCAAATGTCAAAACATTTTAGATTTTTAGGTTCCAGGTAATCTTCCTGTACCGTTCTGATGGTCTTCAATCAGAGATGTTTAATACATTTTCTTGTTTGTTTTAATGTTTTTTTTGTTTAACTGATACTTTTCCAAATCTACTGTAGCAGTGTAACTAATCATTAATTCGTTCTTGTAGCGTTAGCTATCTGCTCGTATTAAGGTGTCTGGACTGAGCTTCGCTGTCATATCTAACTCTTTTGACAGCTCGAGATGGAGAATTCGGAGGCGAAAGTTGCATGTGGGAACTCACACGAGAAAGACTATTTGCAGTGTGTCAGAGTGGCCGTGAATATCAGGCCTCTCATTACTGCAGAGCTTATGATGGGATGTACGGATTGCATCAGCGTCGTACCTGGAGAACCACAGGCATTTCACCAATTTCAATTTTCTTGATCTAATTTGTTCGCCTTTCTTTCTTCTTCTCTCATAATAATCAGAAGGCTAAATGTAGTTATGTAATATGTCTTCTTGATGTTGCTTGGTTGGTTGGTAATCACAGGTGCAAATTGGTTCTCATGCTTTTACATTTGACCATGTTTATGGGAGTACTGCCTCACCTTCTTCCACTATTTATGATGATTGTGTTGCTCCATTGGTTGACGCACTCTTCCATGGCTATAATGCAACAGTTCTTGCTTATGGACAGGTGATATATTTAATTGCTGTTTATACTATTGCCATTTTGTCTATAGTTCCACCCTAGGAAAATTCGTGATGTCTATAAATGTATTCCCTTTGTCCATTATGCAGACTGGTTCGGGGAAGACTTATACAATGGGAACAAATTACACCGGGGAAGCAAATAGTGGTGGAATTATACCAAAATTTATGGAAACTATATTCTCCAGTGTGGAGACAATGAAAGAGAAAATTGAGTTTCTCATTAGAGTGTCGTTTATTGAGGTTAGATACTATTTGACTTCTTTAGTGAGGAGGTAGTTTTGTTTTGTTCATGTGCTTAATTTGTTATATTGCTGGTTATCAGATTTTCAAAGAAGAAGTTTTTGATTTGCTTGATCCAAATCCACCAGCATTTTCAAAAGTTGAAGGAGCTTCACTTGGAAAGCCTGTTGTGCCTGCAAGAGTCCCTATACAAATTAGAGAAACAGCAAGTGGTGGAATAACACTTGCTGGTGTTACTGAGCCAGAGGTTAGGACAAAGGAAGAGATGGCAACATTTTTATCAAGGGGTTCTCTGTCTCGTGCTACAGGAAGTACCAATATGAATAGCCAGTCAAGGTTGGCATCCTTGTTGACTATCAAGATACATTTGTTTATCTTCAAGTATTTATCCATTAATATTCATGTTGTGTCAAAATCTCAAACTGAAGTAGTATGTGCTGATGTGGAATGTGATGACCTTCTAACTCATGTGCTTTCTTTGCATTTTCTGTAGAATACCTTATGGTCATATTATTTTCTTCTTTGCTTTAGTCAATCTCATTTCACCTGATCTTGCACACAACATGCAATAGCTATGTTTCCCCTCAGATAATCTCTTGATCATAAATTAACAATACAACTTGGGTGGGCCTGGACCGAGAGCCAAGGGGTCTCCAGTGCAGTGGAAAATTTTCAAATCAGATTTCATGATTTGCACCCCATTAATCATGTAATTAAAACTTGATTTCGTTTTCTTTATATCTCTGACTGCCAAATATTAAACCAGAATGATTTGGTTATTTTCTTCTCAAACTTTGTTGCTCTGCCTGCAATTTGATATTTAAAATAGTTCAATGTGATTGACAATTGAAGGTTATATCCAACTGTTTTAAATATCGTCCATCATCTTCATCATCTAATCTTTATCCCAATTATATGAGGTTGGCTACATGAACCCTGTTTCACCATTCCATTCTGTTTTAAATGTTGATCATCACTTATTCCTAGATTTGTAACCTGTGTTACTCAGGTATGGCAAGGACATTGTTGAAGAAGATGTCAAATGTAAAACTTACCCAAAAGATTGAAATTCCTGACAAGATATGATACCCATGTGCAGATATCTGGTCATTGTAGTTGCTAATGAATTTTTAGAATTTGGGACATAGTGCAATTTCCTTTTAGGGAGACCCAGAAGTCACAGTTCATTTTGGCGTTATGCATTTATCAAAATTTCAAAGTTCCATATTTCATAATCATTTATTACATTTTTTTTCACAATTATTTATTTCTTTCCATTACCAACTGTTTGTATTGGCATAGCCAAATTGTTTTTGGGTTCACACGTTTTTTTTTTCTTAAACAAAACAGCCACCAAATATATTAGTTACACAACTTACACTGCAGAACAGGGTTTGTGTATAACACATATGATCAAATGAAGAAAGGAAGGTTAAATATTCTGTGTAAACCAAATGCACCATGCCTTGGTATTTCGTATTAGTAATTCTTTACAATTCATAATTGATTGACATCACTTATCTATGAGGAACAGTAAAGTGGATGAACCATACTATATTTTATCCCAGTAATGCATGTGAAACATACTATGTTTTCTCCCCCTTCTCGACCTCCTCCTCCTCCTCCTCCTCCCTCCCTCCCTCTCTCTCTCTCTCTATCCCTTTCTCTCTGTTTGCATACTATATTTAACAAGTAATAGGGATGATTTGTCCATTTTAATATACAAGTTATGTAAAAGTTTTTTTTTTCCTTTTTAGACATTGACCATCCTTAGAGTTAGACACTCATCATGTTTTGACTTTTCCAATTTTATTTTTTATTGCATTTTATTCCATGATATCTTGTTTCCATTATTTTTTGTTCTAGTCGCTCTCATGCCATCTTCACAATAACTATGGAGCAAAAGAAAATCAGTAGTGCATTGGTAATCGATGATGATGTTGGTGACGATATTCTTTGCTCAAAGCTTCATTTAGTGGACCTTGCTGGTTCTGAACGTGCAAAACGAACAGGAGTAGATGGTTTGCGCTTCAAGGAAGGTAATTGCAAGTTCAAGTATAAGGAGCCTTAATTAATCAGTTACCCTTTTGGTAATTTGTTGACTTATGGAGTATAACTTATATGCGGAGATAGGTATTCATATTAACAAAGGATTACTGGCTCTTGGCAATGTGATAAGTGCTTTGGGCGATGAAAAAAAGAGGAAGGAAGGAGGACATGTTCCATACCGTGATAGCAAGTTAACACGCTTATTGCAGGCAAGAGCCACGAGACCACTAATTGCCTTTTCTTTTGTTCTAATAACCAATGACTTGTTTAAGTTGTCTTAGTTGTAGTTTTCTTGAAACTTTTACCCTTTTATGGTTTTCCAAATAATTAACATGACCTATGCTGTATATTATGGCATCCTAATCATTGTTTAGTTAATGTTTCATGATCCTAAAGTTATAAAGAACTAATAGGCATGCTTGTACAAGATTGCATATTGTGATATTAAGGCCTTTTTTCTCCAAGTTTTGTATCTAGTAAAATGCGTAATTCAAAATTACATCAATCCCGTGTGAATTATTATTGAAGGAATCAAAACATAAAAGAAGATTCTAAAAATAGTATTTTTTCCTTTTTCTAAAAAAAATGTGCTCATAGAGTAGGGCATCCACAAGCAGATGAATGGAATTTGAATTGTATACTTAAATTTTCAAACAAAAGTGATCGCATATTACATTTGCTTCAATACATGACCAACCTATACAATGAAATTATCTCTTCCTTTTGAACTCATTTTTGATATTGTAGTGAAGTAGTTGCCCCATCTCATATCTCCATTTCCAATGCTAGACTTGGAGTATTGTATATGTTGTTAGTCCTCATTTTGTCTTGAGAATTCTTCTATCTGATTGGAGGTGGCTGTTATTATAACCAATATCATCAAATCCACTCAACAACATTGGTAAGGCATTTCCTTAGCTGATTGAAACAGAAATTGACTTGCCTAATTGGTGTGGCACTGGTGAGTTCAGCTCACCTTAGGAGCCTATTCGAGGGGCTTAGCCTCCTAAAACAAAAAGAGAGAGAGAGAGGGTAATAATTTCTTTCATGTCATCTGAGATCAACATGCCCCCTTAGATAGTGGGTGGCTACTACAAATTATTCTAACTAATTACGCCAGTACCGAATATTCTAACAAACTACAGGTAGGTGCTAGGCGCTGGGCGTGGCTGACATGGCCTAACCAATAATTGCTGCATGTGGACATCCCATCCTTTTCTTCTTATGTCCATAGACCCTCTCGATGGGAGGTCTAGGCTTGGCATGCCCTAGTGATGGGCCCGGGCTTCCAATAAGGTTCACATCATCTCCTCCCCCCTTCAGATCGACCTTGGCCTCAATGTCTAGATGAGGGAACCGATTTTGGAGCTGCCAATATGGCCATAACCTGCTATGAATCTTCGGTAATAGCCGGCTAGGCCCAAAAATCCCCTTAGGGCCTTCATTGAATTGGGTGTAGGCCAGCTAATCATGCTTTGGATCTTGTTCGTGTTGGCCATGACTTGGCCTGAAGAGACCACATGCTCCAAATAATGGAACTGAGTTTGCTCAAAGGTGCATTTGGACCGTTCTGCAAAGCAATTGTGGGCCTTCAGGATCTCTAAGGCTATGACTATATGGTTAAGGTGGGACTCTCAATCTGGACTGTAGATAAGGATGTCATAAAAAAAACCAAGATGAGTCATCGTAAATAAGGGTGGAAAATGTTGGCCATGATGGCTTGGAAGGTGGATGGGGCGTTGGACAATCCAAAGGGCATAACAGTAAACTCATAGTATCCGTCATGGGTTCGAAAGGCGGTCTTATACACATCATGCTTGTGAACTCGTATATAATGATAGCCAGATCTTAGGTCCATTTTGGAAAAAATTTTGGCGCGGTCCAGCTCGTCCAATAGTTAATCAATCATGGGAATGGGGAATTAGTCCTTTACAGTGATTTGGTTTAAACCCTATAGTCAACACAAAACCTCCAGGATCCATCCTTCTTCTTCACCAACAGAACCGAGGAGGAAAAGGGGCTGTTGCTGGGCTGAATGAGCCCCTTCTCCAAAAGTTCTCCCACTATTTTCTCTATCTCAGTCTTCTTATAATGGGGATAACAATATGGTCGCACATTAGCGGGTTTGAATTTGGGTATCAAGGGAATGTGGTGGTCCTAGCTCCAAGTTGGGGGCAAGTGTTGAGGTTCACCAAAGACTTCGGCATAACGGTCTAGTATTTTATCGAGGTCTCACAAATCCTTCGGACTGGCTGCCAGTCCAATTCACTTGTGAGGGAGGGGTGTGTGGGCTTTAAGCCCATTCGCAATAGTATTGGGTGAGAATGTGAGATGCAACATCACACAGTTTTAGAAAGGCCCGCTCTCCTTCATCAGTGGGCCCACTTGGTTGGTGACCTTGCAAGTGGCATGGCTTCCCGTCTAAATGGAAATCCATGGTCATAATTGACCAGTCACATAAGGTTGGGCCCAATTGGCGTAGCCATTGGATTCCTAGGATCACATCTCTACCCCATTGAAGTCCAAGGGATGTAGGTCCAGTATGAATTGGTGCCCATGTATGAGTAGTTTTTCACCCTTACATACTCCTTCACAATGTATTTTACTCCCATTTGCCACGTGTATTGCAAAAGGGTGAGTGTAATGGATGGTCATACCTAGCTGTCGATAGAGGATGTGGGAAATGAAGTTGAGCGAGCTTCCACTATCAATAAGAATGTATATTCTTCTCCAACATAATGTTCCAATAACTCTCATGGATTGGAATGAGGCCCCACCAGTCAGGGCCTGTAAGGATATCTCTGGAATCCCCTTGTCGGCGTCACCATCTCTTGAGGTTTCTTTGTCAAGCTCGGCTTTTGCTAACTCTCCTTTTGGATCATCCATGTGCAGCAAGAAGAACTGCTGGGCCTTGCATCGATGTCCTGGCCCAAACTTTGCATTGCAGTTATAGCATAATCCCTTCTCATGTTGGGTCTGCATCTTAGCCCATGAGAGTCGTTTGAAGGGTACTACGCTCCTTGATGCCAGGTTCTTCCCAGACTCTATTAACGATCGACTAGCACTTGCCTCCGCTGTGGGCCGAGGCAGAAGCCCCTCAACTTGAGGTAGGGTTTTCAATAGCGGTCCATTGGGTTGGGTTGCCTTCCTCGTCCGGTCCAATCTTTCCTCATGTAGCCTAGCCAGCCTGATCGTTGCAAGTAAGGAAGTTGGTCGCAATACCTTGACTTCCAAGTGAATGTTGTCCCTCAGCCCGCTGATGAAGTTGTTGACCAAGCATGGACCCTGATGGCCAATTTCTTGAACTCCGCCTGATAATCCTGCACGATCCTGTCTATTTGAGTTTGGATAGGATCTCGTCGTAGTTTTCGTAGCTCATTGTACTGAAACGTACGTAGAGTGCTCCGGTGAAGTGGGGCCATGAAAATCTGGGGGTGAGTATGTTGGAACCACTGGTACCAGAGTATAACATCTCTGTCCAAATGGATGGAGGCTATGGAAATTCTTTGGTGATCAGGAACCGCATGATATTCTAAGTACTGCTCTGCCTCGAATATCCAAGGAATGGGATCTCCTCTTGCGTACGATGGAAAGTTGATTTTGGTCGTCCATCCCGGCCATGGTCCTCCTCGTTGTTGACTGCCTTGGCTGGACTCCTCTTGGTCACCGTCCCTTCCGCTTGTCACCGAGCGGTCTCTCAAAGATATGAGGGCTGATAGGGCCTCCTTCATATCTGCAGCCATCTGGTGTAGACCGACCTCTAGTCTATCCACCCGATCATCTACCGAAACCACTAGAAATGGTGAGTTCAGCTCACCTCAGCCTCTTGAAATTGGGGGGGGGGGGGGGGAGAGAGAGAGAGAGAGAGCTTAGGGGGTGGTGATTTCTTTCATGTCATTTGAGATCGACGTGCCCCCTTATATAGTGGGTGGCTACTACAAATTATTCTAACTAATTACGCTAGCACCGAATATTCTAACAGACTACCGGTAAATGTCAAGTGCTGGGTGTGGCTGACGTGGTCTGACCAATAACTGCTGCATGTGGATGTCCCATCCTTTTCTTCTTACGTCCATAGACCCTTCGATGGGAGGTCTGGGCTTGGCATGCCCCATCAGGCACCATGATTCTTCTTCCTCCATTCTGTATTAAATGGTTCTGTATCCTTTTTTAAAGGATAGACTATCAAATCTTTTCTCATTGCCTAAAACCTATTTTCTGTTTTGCCTCTCATTTGACCTTTTGGAACCTTCATCTTGTACCAAATAGTTCTTCATTGCATTCTTCAGTTTTTTTCAATAATATATGGCTGAAACATTTAAATCAGCTCTCTCACATCTTGTCTGTTATTGATGCCTCCTAAGTTCTCTTCAAAACAATAATTCCAAGTTCATGTTTGGAGAGAAGAGAGATCTTCGTATGGTGTTCATTGATCTAGAGAAAGCATATGATAGAGTATATGTCCTAGGTTTCCAGGTCAACAATTTATAGAAGACTCTAATCATTTGAAACATTCCTTTTTTTTTTCACTTTTGTACTAAAAATCAATAAAAACATCAAACAAGCAAATACCATGATCTAGGGACTGCCCCCCTTTTTTTGATTAGCTAATACAATTTTACCTTCTCTAAAAAATGTCATAAAAGTTTAGTGTAGGTCTCTTAGTCAAAGAATAAGAGAATTTGAGACATTTTACGAGATGTTAAGAAGATTGTAGATCAGGTTATTCCCAACCCAAGCCAAAATCAACTTCAGGTTGGGTTGGGTTAGGTTAGGGTTGAAGGATTTTAGATTGGTTTAGGGTTAGGGGTTGGGGATTCAAAACCTTGGGTTGGACTAGCATTGACAACCTGACCTAAGTCACCTAACTTGGCCCAACTTGCACCTCTAGTGGAAAATGAATGTCTATGGAATTTCTTAGCTATGAATTTTATCTAATCCTCACCAAGCAAGGGGTGAATAGGGAATCTATATTTTGGGATAATTTTTAACTTTCCTCCAATGTACTTTGTTGGTGGGGAGTTAAGACATTTTACCTCCCCCCTCTTGTTGTAATTAAAGTTTCACATAGTTTCACATCATTAACAAAGTTTCTTGTTACTGATAAAGAAAAAATCTAATCCTCTATATTATACCTAAAAGAACACTTCCATATATTCTGTCATGGTTATACTTGTTTAAATTTTAAATCCTTTTGCCTCTCTGTGTGAGCCTTGGCACAATGGTTGGGTTGCTCCATTGTGACCTTGGTGACCAGGGTTCAAATCTTGGCAACAGCCTCTCTGTATGTGCAGGGGTAAGGCTGCGTACATCTGTCCCTCCCCAAACCCCGCATTGGTGGGATCCTCATGCACTGCACTGACCTTTTGCCTCTCTGCATATTTATTGGAATTTACACCTTATTATTTTTTCACATTTCATCAATCATAATCACGACAAACAGCATGCTTTGCATTACCTTCTGTATTGCTAGCCAACTAATTCATAGCCAGTTTAAAATGACATCTTCTTGCTTGTGGAAAAAGGAATGCCTCTTTCAGGTATTTTAAGTTCTAAAAAATTAAATCTTCAACTAGCAGTATTGTTTTGCTATAGCTCCATTTTATGCTGTATAGAGCTGGCATAGACCAGATGGTGTTCATATGGACAATCTAGGTAGCTCGCAGTTTAATCAATATTCTGCATTGGCCACATTATATCTTCATGTGGATGAACTAGGGAATATCAACTATTGAAATACTCAAAGGGACGCTTTTAGTGACTTGTCAATTTGTTGTGTGTGCATCTACACTAGTCCTCATCTCTTGTATGGCCACACTGTTTGGGATTCCCATTCTATACAGTTAATACAATATACTTTGCCTTTTCTCAAAAAAAATCTACACAAGTGCTCATACATGCCGTGGCCTTTGTCCTTGTGGACATAATTGAGTAAAAATAACAAATAAATTAAAGGACAAGTAAAAAGCCCATCTAAAAATTTGGCTGATTACGCTTTAGCTTAGCGAAAGATCTTAACCTTTAAGTCCCAAATTATACCAAATTCATTGAGTTCGGAACTATGATTACCGTAATTCTTCATGCATTTTTCCCACACACATTGGGGGTGGAAAATCATGATATCTCTTTAGGCATGAGTGACCTTGAGATTAATTTAATTGTAAAAATCATAACAAAAAAATATTAAGACTAACAGTTATCTTCTGATTGCATCTTTGACTACTGAAGACGATGATTGTTATCTCCTCTTTGAATACATGAAACACAAAAGTGGATGGTTGAATTAATTTATATCAGAAAAAATGATAAATGTTACAGAACAATACATTGAAGATGCTTTCATTTTCTTCAGAATGATATTGGAATTACATTTGAGATTAATCACTTATTTTTCTATGCATTTCCCTTATTATTTCACTGAAAGACTGAAGCTATGTATGTAACAATTAGACAATCAAAACATTAAAGAAGTGTAGTTGAATATGTTGATGTGGCATGTCACATGTATCAGGAGAGGAATCATCAAAAAGATGGTGTAATTAAGCATTGAAGATGCTTTCTCTTTCTTTAGAGGAATGCTGGAATAGGTAATAGCTCCAATAAAAGGGTATGTTGATGGTGTCTTCTTGTTGTTGTTGGAAGTGTTAGTGCACCAATTTGTATTGAATAAGGACGCTGTTGAAGTGTGGATGCTTTCCTTTGACAGTGTCCACAACTAAAACAGTATCAGCTGGTGGTTATACTGTTTTGTGTGTTTCAAATGCTGGTAAGAATATAATAAATGTTCATTTGAAAATGATCAGGCTAAATGGAAGTAAAAAGATACTGGGCTTACTTCTTGTTGGTTTTTCAACTTTGCAGGATTCTCTTGGAGGAAATAGCAAAACAGTTATGATTGGTGAGTTGCCTCGCATATGTTTTTTTATTTGACTTAATTGAGAAAGAATAACATTTTCATCTGTTACAGTTTCACCTTTGCTTGCTCACAATCTGTTGCCTATTTTCCCTTTTATTAAATTATATATATTTTATTTTGTTCTAGCTTGTGTTAGCCCTGCTGATACAAATGCTGAGGAAACATTAAACACCTTGAAGTATGCCAACCGGGCTCGCAACATTCAGAATAAGGCCATTGTAAGTTAACTTTCAAGTTTTAAGACATTATTTTTCTCCCATTTTCTGCCTGAACTATCAAAGTTAACTTGTCTTGTTGCAGGTTAATCGTGACCCAGTGGCTGCTCAGATGCAAAGGATGCGGAATCAAATTGAACAGTTGCAGACTGAGCTTCTCTATTTCCGTGGTGAAGGGCGTACACCTTTTGGAGAGCTTGAGGTATAAAAAGTTAAAAACCATAAGATAGAGTGTTGTTAGGTGCCATTTTCTTTTTGTGGGAATCAAGCTTATGAAAGAAATATCATTTTTTAAGGTTCTTAAACAAAAAATCTCAGTACTTGAAGCAAGAAAAGCAGAACTTCATCAGGAGCTTCAAGAATGTCGAAATACTTGCGATCATTTGGCACAGCGTGCTATTGATGCTCAGGTTTGTCTAATTTTCTGCATTATTGCAATACTTATGCAAGTTAGCAATATTTTTGTTCACATTTTAACATTTCCAGGTCTACTTATAAGATCTCTCATATTTGAGTGACCACCATAGGTTGAAAAGGATAAATTGATCATGAAAATTGAATCAGCTAGAAATGGAAAATCTTGGAATGAGATTGACTGTGGTGATATAAAACAGGTTTGAGATTTGCTCATTTATTTAACTGTTGTAACTTTCTGATAATCACTAATTTGTAGACATGCTTATCTTTCCGTATTATTCTTTTTGCAGGAGTGTGATCTAATGAAGAGTTATGTGTCAAAAATTCAAGAACTGGAAGGGGAGCTGTTGCGCCTGCAGAATCTGAACAACCGTAGCAGTAGTCGATTTATAGATTGCCTTGACCTAGAAGATGATGGGATGAGATCTAAAAATGCCTACCTTGCTAGTCTCCATGACATTCCATCTGTTTGTGATGGTAAAGCCATTGAGGTTTCTGGTGAGCCCCTTAGTTTCATGGTGTTGCATCAATTTATTGTAGTTACCCTTTATTGCTTGTTTTATTGCAGAAAACTAAAGTTTTCAGCTTTGTAAATGTAACATTTTGAAGTTTTAGCTGTAATTTATTGATATCATATTGCCAATAATCAATGGCTTTTGCTGGAAGCTATAGTTGCTAGAAAGTAGAAACCAAACTGTCTGACATGTGTAATCTTATCCTTGAGTTTGTTGATCAAATTTTAAGTCATTATTCATTGGTTGGTAGTGTACATTGTGATGGTATGGTGATACATAAAAGGCAGAACTTTGATTATAATTTGCCCCATTTAGTGCTCTCTCTCTCTCTCTCTCTCTCCCCTCCCTGCCCTCCCTCTCCTTGTGTTTTTGTGGTATCTTGGTGGAAAGTTTTTCAAAGCTTGAAGTTCTTAATGAAATGCGAGTGATTTCATTTGGATTCATATGCAGATGAGATTTATGAAGTGGAAAAGGTGTTGGAACGTTCTTCTATTAAGAATAAATTAGACAGGGAGCTCCAAGAATTGGATAAACGACTTGAACAAAAGGAGGTGAATGCCTTATTTTCTTAGTAGTAGGGCAATTCAATTCAATTTTCATGTTTTATTGCACAAGGTGGTCTCATCCAGTAATTGTTTAGAATGGCTGAATCCTCTATCAGTAGCTTTAGGTGGTTATTTGGTTTTAGGTTAGAGTATGGTATTTTAGCATACTTGGTCACCTTGACTATATGTTTACTTAGAGATGAAATATAAGGAAATCCCATGGTTTTAGATATAGCATGTGAATTTATGGGTACAACCAATTTTAAAATTTCTCTACCTTTTACATAGTTTTTTAAATTTTTCTTGGTTGGCTTAGATTAATTGATTTTTCCCTAAAGCCCCAATCAATTATGTAAAAATATGCACTAGAAATTGGGTTTTCTTTGCCTTTTCTTTTATCATAGACAATATGGTGAATTTTGGCTCCTGAGTAGATGCCATTTATTATATACATGGAGAAATAAGCTTTGACTTGACCATTACTGTAATGAATAAAAATGATAGCAAATACTGGAAGAGCTAATACTGATGCATTTAACACGTTTCTATTCTTGTTCATGTGGTTCCTTCATTCATATTGCGAATCTTTTTCCTGTTCAATGAAGGCTGAAATGAAGCGGTTTGCAAAAGTTGATACATCAGTCTTGAAACAACATTATGAAAAGAAGGTTCAGGAGTTGGAGCAAGAAAAGAAAGCTTTGATGGTAAAGTTATTACTGACAATTACTTTGTCATTGATGACTCTTAATAGTTTTTCCTGCTTATGTTTCTTGTCATTTTACAGAAGGAGATTGAGGACCTAAAGTTCAACCTTGCAAACATTTCATCTACTTCAGATGATGGTGCTCAGAAATTAAAGGAAGAATATCTTCAAAAATTGAACATTCTTGAAGCACAGGTCCATCTTCAGTTTCTTTATCCTTGTTAACTTCTTAATGTTGCTGTAAGACTAACCACTTCTTATTTTCAGGTGTCAGAGTTGAAGAAGAAACAAGATGCTCAATCTCAACTCTTGAGACAGAAGCAAAAAAGTGATGAAGCAGCAAAAAGATTACAAGAAGAAATTCAAAGAATAAAATCTCAAAAGGTGCACACTTTATGCAACATGTAACATACCCAGTTTATAAGATATCAAACAAGGTCTTGTAATCATTTTGGTATTCTTTTTTCAGGTCCAGTTGCAACATAAAATCAAGCAAGAATCTGAGCAGTTCAGGTCATGGAAGGCATCACGTGAAAAGGAAGTCCTTCAGGTATCTGCATGTTACCTAACTTTTGGGTTCTTGGGTGATCTAATGATATTCCTTTTTTTTCCTTTTATTTAGATGCAGACCTGGCTGGGTTGAAGTTGGTTAATTTCATAGAGGGCTTAAACCCGAACTCTTTAAATGGTTGTTACCATGTCCATAATGAAGGCATGATTAGGTGTACTCTAAACATGTGCCATCAATTTGTCATGCATATTTTTGTGGTTTTCTTTTTTCTTTTTCCTTCTTAATCATGTTATTAATTAAGGGTTTTGGGTTGATTTTAAGGGTTGAGAATCAGCTGCAAGGGTCTTTAGCCAAAAGTATGTGGTATCCAATCAAATCTAAATGCATGCCCTAGAATAGCTACACTTTTGCCCCGAATTCACATCTGCACCCCACAGAGCGAGCACCAAAAATGCCCCACAGCACATCCAACCGTGTATTGGGAACACCTCCCAATGACAAGTACGAGAGGTGTTCCCAATGCATGTTTAGATGTGCATGTGGGGCGTTTTTGGGGTGCGCTCTGTGGGGTGTAGATGTGAACTCTTTTGCCCCTATAGGACCTTGATTGTTTTGTAATTTCTTAATTTGTGATGGGTCAGGCCCTTATGTTCATTTTTTGGCCTACATTAGCCTTCCTGAAGCTCAACCACTATGTGGCCTTAGAAGATCATACATGAATAACATCTTATTTTATTCAGTTGTTGGATTGATTCTTGGTCCAACCTGAACTCACTATGAAAAGAAGGCTCAAGTTGGGTTAGGTTGATGCCTTGGACAACCTCAGCCAACCCAAACCCAATGTGTCTTGTATGTTATGTCTGATATATGTATTGATTAATGTATATAAGTATGTTTACATGAGAGGGACGAAATAGGATACTCAAGGGTGTTTTTATTGTAAAACATTACTGTAATATGATACCTATGTATAATATGTCTGCTTGCATGGATATGGTAGTGCGCTTTTTGTGCATGTGTTTTTAAGTATATTGGATTTGTTTGAAAATATATTTGGGAAAATACCTAAAATTGAGCATAGAATATTTCTTATTTCTTTTAAGTTTGTCAAGTTTATCATCCATTTCTTTGGTTAACAAAGCGAATATGCTTTCCTCCAAGTTTGAAGACTATTTAGAACTATTGCTTTTTCCTAACATCTACTTGTTTTATACTCTTAAAGTACAAAAATGCTTTTTAGTTATGACTGGCATTGATAATATTCGAGCATGATAGTGTGGCATATATATTTCTTTATTATGTCATGATTATACACTTAAAGTTCTCATTATAGTGTATTTTTTGTTTCAATTAATAGCTCAAGAAGGAGGGGAGAAGGAATGAGTATGAACTGCATAAATTATTAGCTTTGAATCAGAGGCAAAGGATGGTAAATCTGTATTTTCCTAAGATGTCATGTAAATCTTGGAAATATTTGATTTTAGATATTCATTTTTGTTTGTTCACATCAGGTTTTGCAAAGGAAAACTGAAGAAGCTTCTTTGGCCACAAAACGGCTAAAGGAGCTATTGGAAGCTAGGAAAGCTTCATCACGTGAAGTATCTGGTAGGGAGAATTATTGCTTTGTGCATTTTTTTTCGTTTCCCTACTGTAATTGTAACTCTTGGATATGTTTGCATAGGTTCTGGAAATGGCAATGGTCCTGGAATTCAGGTATGGTAATGAACAAGGGGGAAGGGGAATTTAATGAGAATACCTGATTTGGTTTTCACTTTGTTTTGATAGTTGCATGGGAAAATAATGTACTTTTATACATGGATTTTTTTTATTCTCTTCTTGAAGTCATGCATTGTTTGTTAAAATGCTAACATGCATATATATATATATATATATATATATTTTAAATTCAAGGAGAAGGCATTGATGCAAGCAGTTGAACATGAGCTAGAAGTCACTGTGCGAGTCCACGAAGTCCGTTCAGAATATGAGCGACAAATGGAAGTGTAAGTCCTGAATTTAATATTTACCAGGAACTCAAACAAACCAAACATATATGCTTAACAGAAGCATAAACCACTTTCTACACTACCAACTTTACCTCTTGAATGGATAAATGAAAATTTGTTTGTGCTTATGCATTCTCTAATATGCACCTCACTCTCCTCCAATTTAAAGTTGGACTAGTTGGATAGCCATAGATCCATATTTCTTCATGCCCCTTATTTAGTTATTCCTATTTTCATCAAACCTTACCAAATCATTGAAAAATGATGCCAAGGGCTGTAGATATAAAATAATTGAATGCTTATGCATGTTGACAACAAAAAAGTTCTAGAGCACTCGTTTTTTAGTTAATACATATTGTTTTGTTGATAGAGAAGTTGCATAAATTTCTTCTAAAATTCTGGTTGTTTGCTTGCTGTCAATTGCCTTCAGGATGTAACTTTTTATAATTTAATTTCTATTATGCTATTAGGAGAGCTGCCATGGCAAAGGAAGTAGCAAAGCTAAAGGAAGAAGCAGAATTTCTGAAACAGAAAAATATGAGGTGAGTTGCCTTTCTATGCTTTGTATAGTGTGCTTGGTTGTAAACATGGTTGTCAAGGCGGCACCTAGGCAACAAGGCGCCCTTGGAGGCTCACCTCGCCTAATCGCCAAGTAGTTTTCTATAGCGTGTTATAAAAAACTTTTATATTCTTAATTTTTTGAGGTTATAATTATAAAATAGACATTTTTAAACTAAAATATTCATTTTGTGTGTTTATATACTAATTTCTTTTTATTATTTTCTTATTTGTTAGAGTTTAATCAACACAAACATTGCTAAATGCTGTATTGAACCCTCAAAGACTTCAAGACCTGAGCCAATAAGCAAGGAAGAACATAAAATATTGTCCAATCAACACATTTTCTTATTTTTCTTTACTAATTTTGTGTGTTCATATACTAATTTCTTCTTCTTCTTCTTCTTCTTCCACCTTTTATTATTTCTTATATACTAATTTTGTGTGTTTAATTTTCTTTTCTTTCTTCTTTTTCTTCTCATGAATATGTTGGAATTTGTTGATTTTCTATACTTTAACTTGAAGTTTATACTTTTCTTATGAAAATTATAGATATTTATTAAGGAAATATGATTATGGAACCTAGGGAACTACCATAGGATACATGTTTTTGCTTAAAAAAATCCATCGCCTAGGCAACAAGGCACCCCCCTGCCGCCTAGCCTCGCCTTGGCGCCTTGAAAACTATGGTTGTAAACTTATTTGCTTCTACATTAAGTGGTCTTGATTATATTCTTGTCTAAAAAAAATTTGTTTTGTGAAAATGGCAACCATTACAGTGACTGCTCTCAGACAATGTCTCCTGGTGCAAGAAATTCAAGGATTTTTGCACTGGAAAATATGTTAGCTACTTCTTCTAGCACCCTTGTGTCCATGGCCTCACAATTATCAGAAGCAGAGGAGCGTGAACGTGTCTTTAGTGGAAGAGGCCGTTGGAATCAAGTACGGTCCATTGATGAAGCCAAAAATGTAATGAATCATCTGTTCAACTTAGCATCTTCTTCAAGGTATTTATCTATTTACTTATAACTGATCTAATCTGAAGAGAAGTTTTGATACGATTGTTCTTTTTTTCTTGATTTATGACCTATTATTTGCAATTAGATCATCTTACCTAGTAGTAGACATTTTCCTTGTTGCATGTTGGTGTCTTTCTTGTAATCTTGTTATAACTAGAAAATAAGGCTTTGTTAGAGGGAGAATGACGATTCAGCCTAGGGTCAGAATTTGTAGGCTCAAAGTACTGTTGGGGTAGGTGCCAGCTTGGAATTGATGCCAATTCACGGGCGGGCATTGGTGCATAGAGTGTGGGTTGTTGCCATTTTGAATGTTTATAGCTCTGCAGTGAAAATCAGGAATCTGCATTGGGCCTGTCCGTACTTTTCCGTTTGTTAAATGCCATAAAATTGGAGATGAAGAAAGTAAGGAGAGGGAACATAGGTTTTTGGAAAAGAATTAGCCAGATCAATTGACCCATCAATGGAGCATAGATGTTGATCATGCTCAACTTGCCCGAAATACATTGAAACTTAGCTCTGACAATATCCTTAATTAGAAAATCAGCAAGTTGGTCTTCAGGTTTACAAATGGTAGGCATGTTTTTTTGGTAAGCAACTCTTTCTTTGTGAAATGTCTATTAGCCTCAATATGTTTGGCCCTATCATGGTGAACTTGGTCATGGCTACATTTATGTCTGCTTTATTATCACAGTACACCTTGTATGACCATTCACAAATATGCGGAGTTTTCCCAATAACAACTCAGATACACTATGAGCTATTGCTTGTGTTGATTTAACAATCGAATGCACAATAACAAATTTACTTCTTACTCTTTTTGAAAGATTTCTACTAAGGATTGCTTGTAATCTAGTTCATGAAAACAATTGGCATTGGTATATTTTTTCACTTGAATATAACCATGATTTGAAAACAAAAATCCTTTGTCTGGAGAAGATTTTAAGTATTTGAGAACTCTCTCAACAACTTCTAGATAATGGATCTTGGGAGGATGCATATAGCAATTATTTATAATTTTATACCCACAATACAAGCTATGTCAGGCCTGGTCAAGGATAAATAGAGAAGATTGCCAACAAGCCTCCAAGACTTCTATCTATTTTCTAACAATTCCCCTTCACGAGTATTGAGTTTATGGTTTGGATTTAAGGCTTGGATCCCAGTTTTCATGTATATTTCAATAGATCTAAAATTTACTTCTTTTGTGAGATGAAGATAACCTTCCTTGATTTGGTTACTCCAAGTGGGTAATTTCACTCACTTGTTTTTTTTTTTTTGGTTAGCCTCATCAAGCCCAACGATTTTGGCACAGCCTTATTAACATGGTCTGAGCCAAAAGAAAAAGAATACTTAGTTCAGTTGGGAAACTAGCAAGTTTTTATTAAATTAAAGATGTGTCTATTTTTTATTAAATTAAAGATATGTCTATATGTTTATTTTCAATTTGCGTTAGACATCTGGTTTTCTTCTTTTTCATGATGCAACTTGAAAAGCTTACTTTGTTATTTCATGATGTGAGAGTTGAGACTGATTAGCAACTGGTGAGAATGAAGGTTGTGTTAAAGTAGGACCTTGAGAGCTTCTATAATTGCTTCATTGTTCCTTTTCTATTATTAGGTGTCAATTGCGAGATAAAGAAGTAGACTGTAGAGAGAAGGATGATGTAATACGAGAGTTAAAGGAAAAGGTTGTCAGACTCACTAATCTGGTTAAACAGTTAGAAGTACAAAAGGCAGAAATTCTTCATCAGGAAAAGTTGCAGGTCTGTGGAATATATCATTTTTTAATCTTTTCAGATGCCTGTCAATTAACTTTATTTTTCTTAGTGTTGAATTAATTTATATGCATCAATAGCAGATGATTGTTCATTTACCGCCACTCCCAAACCATCTTTTTCATCATTTCATATAACTTGACTTCAACACATTGTTCTAAACTTCTAATTTACATTAAATGATAATTTAGGTATATTTTTTGTTCCAACTTTAATAAAGTGAGGAAAAAGTGAAGAAAAGGATAGAAGAAAGAAAGAGAAAGGGAAGGGAAAGAGAAGGATAGGAGAAGAAAAGAGGGAAGACAAGAAAGGAGAAATCTGTTCTTTTTTTCCTTACTGTCGACCCAGGTTGTATTAACATTCTATTAAGGCTGAAATGACTACAATACCCTTAGGAAAATTCCAGCAGATATAAGAGAGAAAGAATAACATGAAAATGACAATACTGCCCCTGTTAACTACTTCTAACAATTCTGACATTTTTCATAGTTAGTGTTCGATTTTGAAAGATGCTCCTCTCTATTTTCTTGTAGTGAATTCAAGTTTTAGGCACTCAATTTGTCTAATTATTTAACTGTTGATGCAAAGCAGACCACCCTTTGGTTGCTTTTAGTTACAGTTAATTGCCAGGTGAAAAATTTTGTAATTTCAATCTATACCAAGTTGTAGATTGTATATTATAGTTACTAATTCTATAAGATATCTCTTTCTTTCTCTCTTTCTTTTTTTTTTTTTTTTTTTAAATGAGAAATTCATCCAGTGTCTTTGGGTAGATCCATTGCTTCTAATTCTACAAGATATCTCAAAACAATTTTTCTGGACATTAGAGCCGTCTTCCCAGGGCTTGGAGTTCTCATGGATTAATCTTGCAACCTCGGTGGTTAAAGAGACCTGGTTCTGTTAATTCAATAGAGGGGAGGTGTGATGAACATAAGAGATTTTTCAATACCATCTATCACCTTAAGGAATTCGATAATGGTTTTTTCTCTCATATTCATCATGACTTGAATATCATGAGCTAACACAAAACTATAGTGGTTGAAATAAGATAAAATTCTTTGTTTTTTATTATAGAGAGAGCTGTTTTCCTCAATTTCACATCTTTCCTATATAGAACATATTTCACAATTGAACTTAAACAATAAAAGTTGAACTTAAAGGTGACCCTTTATATAATGCGCAATACACTTTTTAGACATTTAGCTGATGTAATATGGAATATATTAAGCATGAAATAAAATCCAATGCATTATAAGTGACACTTCTTGGATATGTCTTGTATGGTAGGAACTAGAAAGGTTACCAAAATCAATGTGCATGTGTGTAAAGACATACATTGATGTGTTAGTTGCCTATGTTTAGGGCTGCAAATGGATCGGATCAGATCTGATATAAGTAGACCCAAATTTGATTTGTTTATATTCAAATTCAAATTGAATCTTATCCATCAGATTTATATTGGATTCAAATCAAATTCAGATTGCAATCGAATATTGAATAGTATAAATAAATTAAACTACAAATGATCAAAGTATCATATAATATTAATAAAATGAGCTAAAAATGACTGATATTATATTTTATGAACAAAATTAATTGAACATTTCTTATATGAAACTTGAACCTATGAAAATTTAGAAAAACACAATATTCAAATAAACTTTACTAATAGATACTGATGAGGGCAGATTTGGCCCTCTAGTGACAGTGCGCCATATGGCGATCCCAGAATCGTCGCATGACACCCCGACATCACCTAGGCGATGACTTGCCTTAGCCAAAATGATGGAGACCTACTTGGAACCATGTCGGATGCGCCTCGCACACCCTGAGGGCGCTTCATCACCACCTCGCCATGGCCGACACCGACTTGTAGAAACCTTGTTAGGATTGGGACGACCACCTTAGGACCAAGCTTGAGACCTTAGCACGAAGGTAGACCACCTGCCAAGGTGTCACCAACCCGACTGAGGTCCAAGTAGAAACATGCATGATGTGGTGGTCAACCTGCCTATACCTTCGCCGACTTGACGGAGACCCAGCTGGTGACCAACCTCCGTCGACCTGATGGAGACCTAGCTGGCAACTTACCTCCACCAACATGATGGAGACCCTACTGGCAACCTACCTCTATCGACCTGACAGAGATCCGACTGGCGACTTACCTCCGTCGACCTAATGGAGACCCAGTTGGCGACCTACCTTTGCCAACCTAATGGAGACCCAGTTGGCGACTTACCTCTGCCGACCTGATGGAGACCCAGTTGGCGACCTACCTCTGCCGACCTACCTCCGCCAACCTGATGGAGACCCATCTAGTAACCTACCTCTGTCAACCTGATGGAGACCCACCTAGTGACCTACCTTCGTCGACTTGATGGAGACCCAACTGGCAATCTACCTCTGTTGACCTAACGAAGACTCGGGTGGCAACCTCATACACAACTTGGGCACCTCGACAGGGCAGCTAGCAGCACCTCGTCTAGGGTCGACCTATGGTACTTCGTCGGTGGCATGAGTGACCTCCTCGAGAACTTGCCGACCCGACTGAGGTCTATGTGGTGACCTGCGAGATGTGCTCGTCGACCTCCTCAGCGTGCAAACGGTTACTCCCGGGTCTCTCAGAAGGCAGCACCCATACCGAATGTTCCAGAGGAAGGCACAAAAGCCTAGTCTGCATGCAAAACTACCTCCGAGGACTTCAGACCGGTCAACCACGTCTTCTTGAAGACCTCGAACGTGGTGCGTGAAGCCCACGCCAAACAACGCCTATATAAAGGTCTCATTTCCAACTTCAAGAGGTACATGCGCAACTTAGTTCTCATAGCTCTCTCGCTCTGCCCACCCCGAGTAAAGCAAGCCACACTTTGATATTGTTTTCTTGCAGCTCGAACAGGTGACCTCATCAGTCTAACCTCTGAGTTGTCCGCCAGTAGGGAGCTGTTAGATCGCACATCATCAGATACAACATAAATTTTAAATGTGTGTGTGTGTGTATACATATACATACATACATACATACATACATACATACATACATACATACATACATACATACATACATACATACATACATACATACATACATACATACATACATACATACATACATACATACATACATACATACATACATACATACATATATATATGTATGTATGGGATCAAATTGAATGTGAATTTGGACAATTGGATACTGTTTGAATCCCTAATTGTGTTTCTATGTTCCACATGTAGTTATTAAAGTAATGCTGCTGTACTGTTTATACATTTCTAATATAACAGGATTCTATAGTTGCTATCTTTTTCTTGAAAATCATGCAACATACATGACTAGTTTGTTCTATATGAAATTGTGTTAGCACTTGGTAGGATTTAGGTAGAATTAGTAGGTGTTGGATTTGCTTGTAATTTGGCTGACCATGGCTTGCTCTTCTAAGTTTGTGTGTGTTCTGTTTTTTTGTACCCTATATGATGTACATGGGTCAAGATTTCAGGGCTGTTTAATTATGCTGTATCTATACTTTGGAAGCTCCTATATAATATAAGTATTTGGGATAAGCAAATCTTTCCATTGATTCTGCATGCTAGGTCCATTTTGTTGCCCGAAAATGTACAACTTGAGCAAAAATGCTAGTTCATGGTATAGTGTTTTAAAAGCACAAGGACCTTGTTGTGCCTGAGGTGCAAGGCGAGGCATGCACCTTTTTGTAACAAGGTGCAAAATTTTAAAAGAAGTACAAAAGATGCAAAAAAAGCAGAAAATTTTGCAGAATAAAACAAAACAAATATTAAAATAACATATAAAACATATTCAAGCACTCAACATTGCTAGTACATGAAACTTTCAATCTTTTTTGTTTCTTTCTTAATTACTCTAATTCTGCAAGCTGCTTTGTACCAAGTCCCTTGAGGCAAGCCCA